TGTGTGTGTGTGTGTCCGCGCGGGCGCGTGTGCGTGCACGCGCTGCGGGCGAGCCTGGAGCGCCGCAGGGAGGCAGATGCGCTTCGCACCGCGCGTTGGGGACTCGCTCCGGTGCCGCAGGGCCAGCAGAGGCTGCCGAGGCCGCAAATTAATGCTCCCGGAGCGGCGCGCTGTGGCCTACACCCGGGCCCTCGCGCGCCGACCCGCTCGGTTACTCCACGTTGCTGCTGCTGCTGCCGCGCCGCCGCCGCCTCCTGCAAACGCGTCCAGCCTCCAGCTCCCTCCTTCTGCTCCTCCTTCTCCTCTCGCTCCAAAGGCCAACCCGGCAACTGACGATCAACCGCCCCGGTCGCTTTCACCCGCTACGGACTGCAACAGCAGCCCCAGGGACGCGCTGGCTGCGGAGCTTTATTCCTAAGGGAGTTGCGTAGGGGTTCCCTTGGACTCCCACCCTTCCCCAACTGCTCCTGGCTTCTATCCCGCTTGGACTTTCTGTCTAAGGTTAGATAGGCACTTGCCGCCCTGAAATACACTTTCTTTCTTTTTCCTCCTTTCTTTAGCCGGCCAGCACCTCACTTTATCCCAGAATGGCTCCCTAGACCGTTATACTAATGTTCTCCATCCCTCTCTCAATGCTTCTTTCATTTGAGCCCTTGCTCTGCTCCCTGGCTCGCTCTCTCGCCTCCAGTCCTCTCTCTCTCTCTCTCTCTCTCTCTCTCTCTGGTCGGGAGCTTCTGGAGCTCCGCTCGGGGCGAACCTTCTGCTGCCAGCAGATAACATCACGATCTTGCCGGGAGGAGAGATTTATAAGTTCTCTCCGAACCACGTGTTTGCCTTCAACAAAGTGACGTGCTAGGATTACAGTCAGAAGTCCTCTAGTTACTTAGACCACGAGCTCTCCCGAACTGTGAGGGGGGTGTGGAAATGAGGACGGTTGTTGGGAAGGGAGGGAGAGTGGAGCGTGCGCCTTGACAACAGTGATTTACGGTTATTTACTGTCCATAGGCATTTTGGCTGTGTCTATTGAAGGACGTATATCAAGCATTCCGTTTTTACTTAGTGTGGTTCATTCGCAGCCTCCTAGATTGAATAGCTGGCTCTGGAATTAAGTTTTCTCTTCTGTATTCTGTGCACGCGTGTACACACACACACACACACACACACACACACACACACACACACACACACACAGGAGGAAGCAACAGTGCACTGAGGGCTAGGCTAGCCCTGAAAACATGCCTTCCAGTCTGATTCTTGACCTATCCTTAATTTTGTGGATTTCATAACTGGCTGTTATTCTGAAGCCTTTTAAAAAATTATTAGCTTGTTGTTTACAACCTAATCCTCCGTTTGATTGTGAGATGGTTGGAAAACAGAGATCCATCTTTTTTTTTTTTAACCTAAAGGATGTTATGTTTGTTTCACTATTTTGAAGGCATGGATATCATCTTCTTAATTTGCTGCCTAGACCATTTCTTGTATGGCTTTCTCTTCTTCTTCCTAGACTAGACATTATCAACCAACTTCATTCTTTCCACGGTTTATATCCAGGAAACTGGAATTTTAAGCGTTTGATGTCTACTGTTTTACACTACTCATAACTTGACATTTTCTACTTCAACCTTGTCCAAATTAATGAATACAAGCATAATTCTTGCCACTGTTCAATTTTCCCTTTTTATTTTACCTTTAGTTGCTCAAAGTCAACATTTTAATTTTAGCATGACTCTGTGGCCATACTGACTAGACAGATGATTTAAACTGGAAACTCTGTTGAGTTTTCCCCCAAATTCAAGACCTCTAGATTACTCCCTAGTCCAGATATTCCCTAGTTCAAACGTTTCAGAAAATTCCTTGTGATTTAAAGCTTTTGGGATTTAAACTTTAGATGTGTATGGGGCCTATATCAGTAGAGGACTGAATAATAACAATAACAGCTAACATACATCACACATAGTAATGTAGGATATTATTATCCACATTTTGTAGATGAAGAGACTGAGGCACAGAGAAGTTAAATATGTTGTTTGATATCACAGTAAGTCAGGCACGTGATGTACACCAGTAATCCCAAAGACTCAGGAGGTTGAGGCAGGAAAGATAGCAAGTTCAAGACCAGCCTTGGCAACATACCAAGGTCTTGTCTCAAAATAAATAAAAGGGTTGGGGATGTAGCTCAGTGGCAAATTGCTCCTGGATTCAATCCCCAGTACCAACCAAAAAACAAAACAAATTACACACACAAAAAAAAAACAGTAAGTGGTAGAGCTGGATTTTGCATCAGAATCCACTACATCCTTATGCATTGTGTACTTTTAAGAAACCCCGATCCCAGAATACTTTCTGACAAACAAGAATTCTATGGTCAAAAAGTTGGGGAGATATAGGATACTCTCTTGCCCTTTTAGAGAATCATAATCCTCATTATTACATTAAGAAACTCTGAAAATTGTGCAGTAAACTTAACTCCCTTGAAGATGGAGGTTCATAGTGAAGCCCTTCCTTCACTTTAAGTGAAGTCATTCCTTTCAGTCTGAGAGCTGCAGTCATCAAGCTATACAGAAGACAAAAAGTGAAGATTCTTATGGCTGGAGCAATTATAGAACAAACAGCAGGAACTACAAAAGAGCTGCGGAGTACGATGTCACTTTGGAATATGGTTGGCTTCCTGAGTTAGCTGTCAGCATATTCCGTCGAGGATGTGGGTTCAGCTTCCCGTCAAGTCAGTGAGCACTCTCACTGTATTTAGAGACTACCTTTGTGGTATTTACACAGATGCACCTGTTTTTTCATGGACTGTGATCAGAGTGTGGGTAGAGCAGCAAAAGCCCATCTATACTTCTGGAAAACAACATAAGCCATAAGTTCTTCTGATAACCACCCCCTTCCCAACATAAACATCCACACTTGGTTCATAATGCTTAGTTTGTTGAACACATATTGCTTACTTAATGCCCCTTAGACCTAAGACCTCTGACCTATTTATAAGAGGCTGCTTTAATTTCCCCAAAGTCCAGGAGGGTGAGACAGAAAGGGAATGGTAAATTCTTCAGGTGAGGGGAATGGGCAGAGTGTCCCCCGTGTAGGAGAGGAAGAGACCCCCCTTTCTATCTCTTAGGTGAGCAGTTTATTCAGGGTGGAACAGGCATGACTGCAAGAGCTTTCTCTCTGGTTATCATAAAGGAATCCTTCATCTATTAAATAACTCAAGGCCTTTTCATCTCTGTATTCAAAAAGCAAATCATTCACTAAATTTTCTATGATTCTGTGTGCTAGGGACTCTAAAAGAGTAAACTATATACACTGTCTTGATTACCTCAAGGAGGCAGAGGAGCACAGTGTTCAAAAGGGCAGGCTCCAGAAGCAAAATTTCTTGGGTTCAAATTCCTGTCCCTTTTTGGCTTTGTAATTTTGACCAATTACTTGGATACTGTTAGCTATGTGAGTATTTACAGAGTATGCACCACATAACATTACTGTGAGGATTAAATTACACAAGGTGGAAAAAGTACTTATGAAAATACCTGGGACTTAGTATGTGCTCATTAAAGGTTACTTACAATTACCTTAACCTATTCCTTCTTCAATTGTCAGGGAATTTGTAGTAAAATACATCTGGCCTCCACTCTTTAGCAAACATAAATAGAATGAAAAGGCCAGGAAATAACTCAATAAGAATTTGCTTCATGGTTGTTCCTCCTAGCAGTTTCTTTGGGCACATGATCATTATTTAATTATCATATGTACATTAAAGTATTTTGTACCCAGTTACTGTAAAAGGACAAGAAAACACACTTGGCAAATAGAAGGCTAAATGACTACCAAAGAGAGGTTAAGCATTCAACATTAAGTTCTCTTATTAATTAATGCCCTAAAATGGGTTTTTTATTTGTTTGTTTCCAGAACAGAGGACAGGGTGCAGCTATTCAGCCAGTAGCTCTTCTCTGTTCATTAATGGGTCTACTCATTTCAGTCATGTGCAATTCCTACAAGAGATTGAACAAAACTCATCCCTGACCTGCAGTTTCACCCCTATGGGCCATGCAAGAGCATCTGATCTAATAAGTCCTAATTCTCATCAAAGGGTAACTTCATTTCTAAGTTTTAAAAGCTTTCCTCAAAAGTTTCTGGCATTAAAACCAGGAGGTACAGAGGACAAATATAGGAAACTACTATAATGAATCATATTAAAAAAAATTTTTTAGTTGTAGATGGACATAATACCTTTTTTCTTAAATTTATTTATGTGGTACTGAGGATTGAGCTTGGTGCCCCACACATGCGAGGCAAGCGCTCTACCACTGAGCCATAACCCTAGCCGCATAATGAATCACATTTTTCATCAAATAGTAACACTTGATAAATGCAAAATAATCATTTAATATGAAAAATACACTGAACGTTTTTACAGTCTTACTTGTAACTTTATCTGATTCCAAAATCCAAAATCAATGTTTGGAGTCCATTTTTTTCATGCCCTGCATACATTTTTTTTACAAACAAGTTTATGGAATAATAACTATTATCTACAGAATAATAAATTATTCTTCTGGGTCATTTTTACCTTAGAATAACGAAATTGAAAGATTAGTGATTTCCCCATGAAAAGTAATCCAGTACATTTCTATTTTTTATCTATGGGTTAATCTAAGTGAGAGGTGATAAAGAAATAGCAAGGCAACAATAGCCAGAGGGCTAACTGGAAAGAGAAGGGCTTAAAGAGATCAGAGGTGGTAAACAGATAAATGATACATTCAAGAGACAGGGAGAGGGAAAAGCAGAGCATGCCAGTAGGCCGCAAGACTTTAAAGAGATAAATGCATCACACTTCAATGATCCACTGTGGAAACATCATCTCACCCTCTAGGATTATGATTAACTGATTGATTACTACTTGTGGCTTTTCGGTCACTCATATCTCTGCATTTTCAGTTGTCTGTGAGAATTCCAGAGGAAAGTTTTACATTAGGAGGCGAATTGTCAGCAGTCTGGCCTATGTCATCTCCAGGATATTCTGAAATTAATGCAGCCTTTAATTTCTGCCCCTGGTAAAATCCATCCACTAAAACAGCATTTAGTGACTGAGAAAAAGCAATCAAACATATGGGGACAGTTGGGAGATAGCATACGAATATAGACATATGCTTAATAAATGCTAATGCTGACAAAGGAAGCCAGCAACAGAATTTCTTTCAGATTAGGGCAGTGTTTGACACATGCCCTTTCATAATCTCCTGCCTCACTTACCCACCACCTCACAGTTCATGGATCACTTAAAAAGCAAGAACCAAGAACTAGGTTGTGGAGGGCAGGGTCGGGGAGAGAAGTATTTCAAAAAAGTAAAAATAAAAATAAAAGGAAGGAAACGAGAAGGTATATGAAAGAGAAAAAAGATATATTTTCATAATTGAGTATGACTAATATAAAATAGAAATGTTTTTTAAAGATGTATGATCTTTAGATGAATTTTTTTTTGTCATCATCTCAGTGGGCTTCATAGATTATGCACAATTCCAAAATGTGTCAATTTCCACTAGCAAATCCATGTATATCAATCAACTTTGCCTTTCTGCTTCTTTGGTCTGAAATTAAAAATGAAAACAAAGCAAAAAATACCAGATGACAGAAAAGAAAACCTTAATAAAATTTTTATAATAGAAGAAAAAACTAGTAAATAAGTATTTCTAAACAGCAAAAGTTTGTTAATAATTTATAAGCACAGCTAAATGGACAGTTTTGTAAAATTTGACACTCTTGATCACACATGCTGATAATTATTTCAAGTCTTATAAAAGAAAGTTTGAAACAAAGTCTGTAGAACTAGAGCAATAATACAAACATAAGAACTTGTAGGCATGAAGAGGATGCCTTTCATAAATACATTAAGACAACAGGGGTAAAACAAGACTGCCCCAGGTAATCACTATAATATGAAGCCACTTTAAAATCTGAACCTGTAAGAATAAACTGGTCAGACTCTCACCCTTTTTAATACAATGGTGATACCGTATTTTACATATTTCCAAGTCTTTCTGCTTTGCCCCTGCAGCAAATTCTAAAATTTCACTACAGCTACACTTTAAAATTGCTTACCTGTACAAATTTAACACTGATATATAACTTGCACCATCACAAAAATGAAGTCTCCAACAGGTGCTTGGTCAAGATTCTTTGAGACCCATAAAAGCCAATCTGCCATGCAGAAAGGAAGAAGAGGATAAATAAAATGATGATTCCAGATAAACAGCTGTTTCACGTATTCTGTGTGGAGCCTGAGAAATAAATTTTTAAATTTTGGAAAGCAAATAAGAGACTAAGGAATCTCACAAGTAGAAGGTGTTTTGCCCCTTTTTATTTTAGTTTCAATACAAAACACAAGAAGTATTATGTGCTGATGGATAACATAATACTGACTTTTTACATGTTGATTTTTTCCATTAATAAACAGTAACGGCCTTCACAAAATCAGAGATGCCTGGAAAGTCAATCTTGTAATTGAAAAGGTTGTTTCCTATTAACCTGAAAATTTGGGGGGATCAAGATTCCTAACATTTGTGGTTTCTCTTTAGATTATTTCAGTTACATCTTTATATGTTCTTTTGGGTATAAAAGCATCTATAGTTTCTAGCAAATGGCATGATATTTACACAAACTAAAGGAATAAATTAAAAAATGGGAGTGTCACTGTGACCCCAAATGACTCCAGCATCATAGAAAAATGATTTGGGTTTAATATTTATTTCTTTAAGGTATTTGTTTTATAATTTTAAGTCAATTAAGATCATTAAAGAAGAGACTGTCCTAACATCAATATGGTTATCTGACCAGTTGTAACAATTGATCAACACCACAATTATACCAATTGTTTAAAAACTGGCCACTAGTTTATAGTGGGGAAAAAAAAAATTATCAGTTGTTTCAGTGACAGTCTAGACCATGCCACCTAGAGGAGAACAGTGGTATGTCTTTTAATTTTACATTTCAAGAAAACCAACATGCTTATTTACTTATTATTTTCATCACAGCTTATTAAACAATCACCTACTACTTGTCTGCTATAAAATCCTTTAAAAAAATTGTCACATATATAACACTTCCACCTCAAGAATATATTCTATTGATTTACTGTTAGTGCACATAAAAATTATAATTTTTCATAAATATCATAAAACAGGTATTTTTAGAAAACATTGTAAATCCGAAGCAATAGGTCATCCTTAATTACAAAGTTTTGGTTATCTATTATCTCCAAGAAAATAACCTTCTAAGCTAAAATCTAGTTCTCATGTATAAAGCATAATGTGAATATTTAAATTCATAATAGCAAAAAAAAAAAAATCAGTCGCTTGCATCGTAAGTCATTTAATTCCACTAACAAACACAGGGCACGGACAATATATTGTTATCTTAGTACTACAAAGAACAATATCAATACACAGTAAATTCCCAATAGACAAAAGATTGGACAGCACTCTAGTCATACTAGTAGGTCCATTTCTGCCATATCCAGATAATTAAGATATAAATTTTTCACGGCAACATTTAAAAAATAGAGTAGGCCCCTAAAACTGTGGACAGTACCCAACCCTGTATAGTATGTTTATTCCTGTCTATATACACTTATGATAAAGTTTCATTGTTATAAATCAGGCAGACATTAATGATAACAATACAGAATAACAATATACTGGAATGTTATATGAATGTGATTGCTCTCAAAATGCTTTGAGAGTATATTTTATGCAGATCTTAGCAACTCAGTATTTTTTTTCTCTTATTAACTTGAGAACATTCACCTTTTTATTTAAAGAAAACACTTTACAGCTTCTTTTTGGCAATATCCAAATTGTCAACATCAACTCCTGCACGTTAGAGCATTATTAAATAAGAGTTTTGAATATAAGTACTGCAATACCACAACAGTCAAATCTGATAACCAAGATGGCTACTAATGGATGGGTAGTATATACAGTGTGGACACAGTGGACAAAGGGATGATTCATATCTCAGGCAGAACTGTCCAACAACTTATCATACTACAGAATGGCATAAAATTAAGACATATGAACTTTATATTTGTGGAATTTTCCATATATTTTCATATCATGAGTACCCATGGGTAACTGAAATTGCAGAAGGTAAAACCATAGATAAAGATGCACTAAAGTAAAACAAGAAAATAGGTTTCCATTAAAAAAAAAAAAGAAGACAAACAGGTGAAAATGAGAGTAAAATTTTTTATGTTCATTGTTCACTGCAGCATAATTAGTAAAATTTAAAAAATAATCCAGGATTCTAGCCAACAAGACTCTTAATATTCATCTAATGCATATACCTCTCCCTGAACCCTAAAAGTGTTTAAACATTATTTAGAGTTTGGGTTTTAGAACAGAGTAAGTAGGCAAAAAAACATGTTTTAGAATCTCATAAATGTCAGGATTATTTTACTCAATGTGAGCCTTTTCAGACTATTAAAACTACATTCTTCTTTTTTGTGGTACTGAAAATTGGAACTAGTGCCTCACCCATGCCAGGCAAAACCTTCAACAACTGGGATACATCCCTGGGCCTTTTTATTTTGAATCCGCCTAATTATCTGCAATCCTCCCACCTCAGACTCCAGTGTAGCTGGAATTACAGGGATGCACCACCAAGCCTGGCTTAAAATCATGTTCTTAAAAAAAAAATATACATTCTATATTCATTTAATATATTTGGAGCACTTAAATTTTTTACTTAAGACTATTCATAATGTTTACATTTAACTAGCATATGAGTGACATGTTTTCATGTCTTCACAGTGACACTTAAATGGTAGCATAAAAGTTGAAGTTGTATAGTTTACATAAATGTCTTCATGTTACTTGGAGGATGTTTAAAATTTCTGATGATTAAGAAAAATTCTACAATATTGTTCACATAGTATTGTATATAACCGGAATCTTAAGAATTCTTGAGAGGGATTCCAGGAACATTCCTAGACCTCAGTTAAGTATCCAGTATATGTTAGACCTTATATTTTTATTGGGGGGGGCTTTATTTATTTATAATTATGTACCGAAGAAAGAATGTCAAATCTAGAAGCATAGCATCTAAACCTCCAAATGAAAAATAGAGAACACTTCTTGAAGGCTTATCACACATCAGGTACTGTGCTACACAGGCATTGTGCATACATTAATGATACCTGATTTACATGCCAGTTTCAGAATTTAAGAGATTTGTGATAGAACACATAGCTAATAAGAGTCCAAACTGACTTCTGAACTTAGTTTATTCCAAAATTATGCCCTCATGTAACAATAAATACTGGTATTTCCTAAAATGTAAATATAATTTCATTTATTGTTAAGAAGTATATCTCAGCATCTAGAGACAACCAAGATATGGCAGTTATTACTCATGCAATAAAGTTATTCCTCACATTGGTGCCATTTGCAAAGGATAAAATCACACTGAACTTTGTGAATGATGGGCTTTTATATTTATAATACACTTAAGAGAATCCAGTGTTATTGTACAAAGACAAATATTATTGTGTCAGAAACAGCCCTGATGTTATGCTTGGTACTGCTCAGTATTTCAGACTAACTGCTGTGTCTGGCTGCCTCCTTGATGTTTTCAGAACTGATGTCAACTCATTGTTTATGTCCTTTCCAAGGGAGGGGAAACATTTTTACCTAAGACTGAAGTCTAGTTCTGCAGGAGCAAAGAGGCAACTGTCTAGTAGCCTGAGGGTGAATCAACAGCTGCAAGGCCACCCACGCACATGCACACAGCTCTCAGCTGTCTCTCCATTCTGGGCCCCAGTTGGTCCTGACCCCATACAAATGTGGTGTTCTTGCTTTGATGTTTATGAACCAAGTGCATTAAAATGCAGGATAATGATTCAGGGGTTAGAGAAACTGTTATTTATACAAATGTGGTTAACACCTCATCATCTTAAACTGGCTATGCTAATAACATTCATTGGTTCTTTGTTTTCTATCCCCCCCAACCCTGCAAATCTGCAACCTACAATTGTTCTGGCAATATGTGGACAGTATACTAGAATAGACTGGGAGACTTAAGAGGGTCCTACAATTTAAAGCAGTTTCTCAGAAAACCTGCTAAATAAGTGAGCACCCAGATATGAGTGCAAATCATGGGAATTCAAAACTAGAATGGTGTCTGGCATCTGTTGCTCCAGCAGTGCTCAATACATCCTTTTCAATACATCATAAATCTAAACTCTTGGGGTATAGTAATAAGATCTTAAGTTTGGTGTGCTAATTATAAAAAACTTCAAACAGTAATGTTAAAAATCAGACGCTAATCCCAGTGACTTGGGAGGCTTGAGGCAGGAGGATCGCAAGTTCAAAGCCAGCTTCAACAACTTATAGAGCCCCTAAGCAACTGCTGAAACCCTGTCTCAAAATAAAATGGGCTGGGGATGTGGATCACTGGTTAAGTGCCCCTGGGTTCAATCCCTGGTACTGGGTTGGGGGGGGGCGGATCAGATGCTATTTGTTACCAAGAATAGCCTACTTATAAGGACAAACAGTTATCCAGGATACCATTTAATTATAAAGCAATTTGTCTCTTATAAAATAGTCAAAAAAGAAATGAAAAATTCAACCAATGAAATTATATCAGTATTTACCAATATTTATTTGGATAAATATATCCATAAAATTTTACAGAAAAAGTTCAAGATAAATTTATGATTCCAAAATCTACTGTCCTTTTATTAGACTAAAATATATACTCTGACTATTCTCTTTATAGCTGTAATAGACCTATTAGACACATGGAGCTTTTAAAATTTAAAGTAATTAAGTAAAATTAAAGATTTAGTTCTGCTATATAACTAAATGAAATGGCCACTTGAGCTAGTGATTACCTATTAGTATGGACAAAATATTTCCATCAGCACAGAAGAGTCCTGTTGGACAGGAATGACCTAGTGACTCAAATTATAAGGAATTATGCTGACTTTTCTAGTATATATCCTTGCTTATCTTATTTAGTTTAAAGTAAAAGAACATTAACAGAAATCTATATATTCCTGCTCCAGAGAGGGGAAGGGGTCAAGTGATATTGGACATAATTTTTCTTAAAAAAGTAGGATAAGATAAAAGGTTCACCACTGATCTAGATAAAAAGTCCTAAATTCCAACTTACTAAAATATGTTTAGTAGACTGGATGAAAAATAGTAAGGTGGCTCTCTAACTTAGAAAACACTCTTTAAAAAATTTATAATTATAAGTAGTTAAAATATATCTTCCATCTACATAGTTCTGATTAGATTCATTAGAACTTAGCATTTTGTTAAAATACCAGTCACAATTCTAAATATCTTATTCTTCACCTCAAATATCATTCTTCTCCTTAATCTATATAGAGGTCCCCTTGACTAATATATTAAAATAAAATTTCAGAAAAATCTCACCAGGTAAAAAAATTTACCAGGCCTACCTCCGCTGCAGTAGTCAGTAAGATTCATCTATCCTACTGGCTACAATTCAGATTCCTGTTTTCTTGGGGAATGAATAAGAGAGCTTTTTGTAGGTACAAAGTAAGTTCTCTCTCCTATTTCCAAAATTTTTCTCTACTGCCAATTCACCTCAAATAGTCTTCGTCCTCAAGTCTTGACAGCCTCTATATCTATCACACATAAAGTCATACCAATCCTAATACATGAATTTGAGAAAGGAAGTTTTAGTGCAGTTCTCACAATGGGTATTCAGTCAATGCTATGTCGAGGACCTTTCAAATTCTATTAAGACCCTTAACACAAGAAATAACAGCAACTAAATTAATTCTCATCTAAGTTAAAAATGCACAATTTGCTGTTTATATACATATTAAAAGAAAAAAATTAACCAAAAGATGCAAAAGTACCAGCTTATTTATTTGATCTACAATCTTTTCTACAGTAGTATGCATGCTTCTTGAAGAATCTATTTTAAGCACCTTCTTAGATTTTATAATTCCTTTAACTCTTGGGCAACAAAATTCATGCTTTCAGTTTGTTCATGTTTCTGTTCACACTTCAACTTTATACCTTCTCTGCATTTACATTTCAATAGAACATCTTTAGTCATCTATAAACCATAATCCAATGGCTTTATAATAAAGTTCTGTAGTACTCATGCAGCCTGAAGACGAGCAGAGATACAGGATTAGTTTAGTTGGTGGCCACTGAATAAAAAGTATATTTATATTTGCATAACACATTGATTAAAAAGCCCTAAGAGGTTTCCCAAACTTATACACCTCTTTCTTCACCCATGTTTTAAAAGACAAAATATTTTAAAGAACTCGGACTTGCCCTCAAGCCTTCCAGAACCTTTTAATGAGTCATATTAGGCTCCTAGTACTGAAGGTAAGCTTCTGAACTATTCCGTCTAAGAGTTTTAAAGGAATATTTTGGAATCGGTGAAATAATTATTGAGCCATGAAGAATTCTAGGTACCCTGAAAATAAAGTAAGTACTCCAATTTCATGTTCTGAACTTCCACCCTAAAGTGCTAACCTACAATGATTCTAAGTTATTTTCAGTCCTAAACAAGTACCACTTTTGATTTTCAAATTTCAATGCTTAGAAACCGTAACCAGTGTAAATATTAACCCCACTCATCTAAATATTCAGACCAGGTAATAATACCTTTAAATTATTGGCTTCTATTTTGCATAGCTCTTTCTAAATAGAGAAAAGTAATTTCTTTACTATATTACTCTAGTTACCCAAAATAAAATCCTAATATTGTTATGTTTAGATAAATGAAGGAGAGGTAGGATGGGATTACAGTTCTTTCTCTTTCCCTACTTTACAGAATTCAAAGATAATGTAGAAAGATTAACAGACACAGAATTCTTCATCTAACTGATGCCAGAAGAATTTAAAGGTTGTAATACAAAGTAATATGAGTAGGGAGCTAGACTATTTAAAACATCCATCTATAGTTCACACTTGGTTTCTAAACATGCCCATCTTTAGATTCATATTTATACAGTGATTTTTGCTTAAATATTTATAGCCAATATGCAGAAATATTAACATACAGAAGACATTTCATCTATATAAATTTTTTTATAGCCTTCTAACAAGAAACTTCCCCCCTTAACCAAGCACCTCAATTTTATTTTCAAATTGAAATGAAGAAAATCTGAAAATATTCTTATTACTTCCAATTTGAAAACCTTGTTCGATTTTTCTAAATTAAACAAAGGATTATAAGCATGTATGTTTTAAAGCAATTAGTAAAGAAAAGCTATTTACCATTTTTATCACTTGAATGTGCTATTCAGAAAAATTTTTGAAAAAAATTCAGTATGACCTAAAAACAAGTTTAATGAAAGACAATATAGTATAATCTCTAGTTCTGGGAACAGAAATTTACAAGTGTTGCACTATTTTTTTTTTCAAAATTAACTGTAGAGTATATTGAAATATTTATTCTGTGTTAAGTTATATTGGGATATTAAGCATTCCTACATTACTACTAAGAATTTTTGGTTCATATTTACTTATATTAAAATAACAAAATGGGAGCTCTATGATTTAATAAGACACTAAAGTTTAAAAGTCAAGATAAACTCAAAACTGCATTTTGAGCTTTGCTATTTTAACCATCAGTGTATACTTTCCTTTATGATAACAAATACCAAGCCATGAGCTAACTTAACTTTAGTCATATAATACTTGTTTGAAAATATAAACATCTCTACTCTTGCCCATTGTGATTGGTATAGGATTGTCCTTGAATATATAAATTTATGCAAGTGTGTACAATTGTGGGGAGAGGAGGAAACTATTTTTACGATGGAAAACTGAGGAAAGGGATGGATCCTTTTCAGAAAGGAATAGATCAGATTTATCAAATTCTCTTACAAACTTTAGATCTTGGGCCAAGTTTCACAGAAATGATAATTAATAAACAGTTTTACTTTTCTCATTTTAACAACCAGATATGAAAGTCATCCAATGTAATTACCTTCAAGGTGATACGGAGCCAAGTCTCAAATTAGATGCAGTATCTGATGCAGATTACTTGTTTTCTGATTCTTCTCTGACTACTCACAAGTAGTCCATGAAAGAATTTATACTAACTAAATTGTTCAAGGCAAAGAGAGAGAAAGAGAGACAGATAGAGACACTAAAACATGTCCAATAAGCTTCCTAACAAATTATGTTTAATTATTAAAAAAATACATAAGAATTTCCACCTCAGTATTCTCATGCAAAAGTAATCTAACACTTAAAAATGTCTTTATATTATTCAGTATACAAAAGGAGGTAAAAAGTGGCAATCAGGTGTATCTTAAATTGCACATTCCAGCTTATCTAAATACAAACAACAACCCATGTCAGAAATACTATAATTTTAAATACAGCATAGGTTTCTTTTTCCTCAACAGCTGAACAAAACAAGGTGTCACAAATTATTCCCCTGAACTACACAGATGTATGAATTAGAAGGCAGGATTATGAACTTTAAAGCATTAATTTTAATTATGAATTGATAATACATTTCTACAAACACTGGTGATATTAAAACAATATACCAATAGACATGATCAATATGTGTACATATGTAATGATCCCAGAAAAATGGTGGTCAAATAGAAATAATATTTCTCTTTAACAAATGTTTTGAGGAAAAATGCTTTAAATTATGTGAAGTTGAAAATATAATTTTAACAAAATTTATGTGAAAAGAGGAAACACCAAAGCTGCTAAAATTCTTTGGGACCCCCACCTTCCAAATGCTATCCTTATAATTCCCCAGTTGTCACAGGATAAAGTATTTTTCTAGAAAAAATTAAATTATTGCAAATATTGCTTCCTATAGACTGCTTTATGTGTCAGAGTCACTTGTAGATCCTGGTCTGCTGTTATCTGGCCCATCGCTTTCCTTGTCCCAGTCTTTCATAGACGCACCCATCATGAAATCATCACGCAGAATTGTCCAACCTGGGCCATCTTCTGATTTGATTTCAGTCTAAGGAAAATCAGAGAACCAAAATAGTCAGAAATCAATTCAATCATTAATAATTGGTTCTACAATAGAAGTGAAACCAAGATAATTCACAAATTGACTTTAGTTTTACAATACAGTTATATAGGTATATATAAAAATATAACAAACAACTATATATTAATAAAATGACATATCCCAAAAAGAAAAATGGAAGCAAAGTAAAATTTTTTGGAGTGGTGACAACAATATTGTCAAATCCAAGTTTGGTATCAATTTTTAAAATCTTTTGAAAACAAAAGCAAACTTATTTAACCTTCAGTGATAATTTATTAAAAATTCTTGGCAGATTATTTCAATATAAACAGATATTTAAGAAACACTTTTGCCCAAAATAAAGGTAAAAAAAGTAATCTAATCTCAGTACTATGCTACATTTTTATGATTGCTATTTCACTTAACATTTTATAAAAATTTGAACCAATTATTCTTTATTTAGGAAATAATGTCACTCCCTGACCCTACCATGTAATGAAAGACGAATCACACGCTACAACTATAAATAACTGAAGTAGGCAATAAACATGTAAGTAATCATCCATTTTATTTAGTGGTAGAATTTAGTAATACATAAGAGAGCCTAGGAATTACAGGCCTTCATTTCATGGTACAACAGTACCACCTTGTGGTATTAAGTATTACAATATAGGCAGCACTCTAAGCTATAAAATTTTTCATTCTTTTCACAAATATTAAGAACTGTGTTATCTAGCACTGTTCTTCATGTCAGAAATACAGTAATGATCAAAGCAAAATCCCTGTCTTCACAGAGCTAACAGTCTGCAAATCTCATTTATAAAAACACACAATTTTGGAAAAATTTAAGTATGAAAGAAAATTCTAAGTCTTAATTATACATGAATTTTTGCTAGAAAATAATGTTGTTATCTTTACAGGGGTTATTAATCATGCAAGAAGCAATTTTCAAGAGAAGATATTAAAGACATCTATTAGATTACAAGAGATTAAAAATGTCCTACTAGCTCACTCCTATATTCCTAGGGTCAAGCAATAAAGTAGAGCTTGTGCCTAAATAAAACCCAAAGATTGGATGAGTAAAGTTTTAGAATTGACTTTGTATGTCAAGTATCAGCCCACTTTATACTGAAACTTAACCAACATAAACAAAATCAGTGCTACTATAAAAATCAACAAAAAAATGGTACTAGTATTTCTCCTGCCACACTGGTAGGAGAACAATAAAGTAGAAAGGTAACTTAGAACTCTCCTTCTGGAATATTTTAATATACCTGTCCATCACTTATTTCTATAAAATCAAATCTATATTCGTAAAACTGAAATTCTGCTTCTCTTTGATGAAACTATTTCACTGGATAAAAGGCCATTTTCTCTAATTTATGCCATTTTCTTTGCCAAGTTTCTCATCAAATAAGAGAAAGAGCTGTTCCAGTCGAGATCTACTTATAACCAACAATTATAAGACCTATCCTGTCAAATTAACAATTCAAAGCTTCCAATTAAATTCTTAAAAATGTATAGCCATATCCAAAATTTCTCACCAGCAAAGACTTGTCCTGACTTTGATATCTGTGTTTACATATGAATATGCCCAATCTCAATGTTTTAAGTCTCCAAGTCTGGACAACTATACCCAACATGCTATCAACATGTTATCAATCAAGAGCTCACATGACTGGTATAAATGCAACACTTCTACATGAGGGCTCCCTCTAAGAGCAAACCTCTAATGGACACTAAGTTACTCTTCTAGCACCAGAAAAGCTATAGAAAACAAAAGAATTAATAAGAAAGGGAAGAGATGGAGGGAAGATGTCAGATAAAACTTTAAACAAGTAGTTCATGGGCTGGAGATGTGGCTCAAGTGGTAGTGTACTCGCCTAGCATGCATGAGGCACTGGGTTTGATTCTCAGCACCACATAAAAATAAAATAAAAATATTTAAAAAAAACAAGTAGTTCAAAAAGAAAAATACTAGCCCCAAGGAAAGGAATAATTAAAATGGTGAGACAAACTGTCTCACATGTCTCAGAAGGCCATTCCTGTAAACATTCATATAGTTTAAGCAATGAGAGAAATAACAGAATAAACCTAAAGTTTTTCTCAAAGATCAATATGAAATGTAACAATTCAGTAGATCTTCACAGGAGGATCTTGGCAATGTTCTTGTTTTTTTGCAGTTCAGGAAATTAATAGTGTATATCAGTGATTTTTAAAGTGTGATCACCAGTATCACTTGGAAACCTGTTAGAAGTTCCAAATCGCAAGCTTCATTCCAGACCTACTGAATCAGAAACCCAAGGGGATTGGGTACAGAGATCTCTTTCTTCAAGATATCCAACAATTCTGATATATGATAAAGCCTAAGAATAACCAGTCTATAAAAAGAGAAATATTTCTTAGTGACAGTTTCCATTCATTGCTTTAAGACCAAATACATTTATGGCCAAAAGAGAAAGATTTTGGGAAACACAACATTAGATTTTGGATATAAGTATTAGACTCAGCTCTGTATGCCTTAAGTAGGGCCATAACTCAAGGTATCGTTACAGTAGTGTTTTTACACTGTGAAGCAACAAATTGGAGAAAAAATAGACAACATAAAATTTACTAAAAACAAGTATAGATTACCATGTCTTAATAACAGATATTCTATATAACATCTGTCAACATGGCAACTCAAGAAAGAAAACTTTTTAAACAGACAATTTCAATTTTTAACGTATACATCTGCTAAAAAAATATACAGCAAGGAAAAAGAGTCATCTTGAGATGACAGTTTGAACATAAATAAGTAGGCTTGCTCAACTTCAGTAAACAGAAAAACTAAAGAAAAGCAACCTGTTTCAAAGGTATAAAGCACAATGAGGTATAAGTTTTGGGACATCAAGGTGGCAGAAGCAGAAGTATAAGAAAATGCCAGCTGGAGTATAAAGCAGGGAGATGAGTCCCTGTTTAGGGTAAGTTCCATTACCAAGACAACTTCCAACACAACTCCTGCCACAGGTTCGGTATTCTAATTAGGCAAAAATAAAGTAACCATGGAAACAAATGGGACTTTGATCAGGTCCCTGCAGAGAGGGGATTGAGGCACAGGCCAGTCTGTAAGACAAGACTTACCCAGACATCAGAGTCTTGAGCCACACTCTGGACCCACGCTGCCCTACTTTATGTAGTGTTACTTTCACTTATCACTAAATCTATGCTGTTTCTTCCGGATGTTCAAGATGCCAAAAACCCACCCCCAACTAGACATTCCACTGGTATCAACAAGTACAAGATCAGAAGAGAGAACAGCAACACAATTTAAGGAGATGAACCAGGGATGAGGATGCAGCTCCATGGGAGAGCACTTGTCTAGCATGTGAGAGGTCCTGAATTCTATTTCCAGCACATTCCCTCACCTGTCCCCCAAAAAAGGAGAAGGAGGGGAATTAGATAAACTACAAGAAACTCAATAAATGCAAGAAAGGTCGGGGCTGGGGATATAGCTCAGTTGGTAGAGTGCTTGCTTTGCATACACAAGGCCCTAGGTTCAATCCCCAGCACCCCCCCACACACACACACACAAATGCAAGTAAGGTGACTCTTAAGATGGTAAATGTAAAGCTGACAATCACCCCTATTTACACTAAAGAATCTGCAAAACAGTAACTGGCACTTCTGGAAGTAAGGATTGGAGTGGAGGGACCAAAATAAAGATAACTGAGTAAAAGCTGTGCTTTGACTTGGTCTCTAGGTATTTCTCACACTAACCTGGCAGAAAACTAACCACCTGGAGATATGATGGCAAAGCACAAATCATAGTATAGGCACAATATTGAAAATGGGATCAGATCACACACTCACCCCCAAAATTTATTCCAGCTCCCTTGTAACAATGAGCTCCCAAAATGCAGACAGGCAGACCTTTTTCCTCCCGGTAAAGAACAGTAGTATTCTATAGAAAATCTGTCTAGTCACCAATAAAATGTTCATCCTGAGAATTCTACAGTGAAGTTTAAAGTGGACAATATCCACATGCTCACAGCTTCTAATTGCATTTTTAGGACTACTGGTTCTAACTAATCATGGACAACTAACTAAGTATTATTATCATTGAAGAAGCTAGAAAGCAACAAAAAATGCAAAAACAGAAAACCAATATGTAGGGAAAACAATTTGAAAAAGAACATTTAAAAGAAAATATCATTAATATTCTCAAAGACTTAGGAGAATATATTGCATCCATAAAACAAGAGCAATTATTATTTTAAAATAAATATTAAGAGAATAACAAAGAGCTTGAAATTAAAAACACTATGGCAGAAATAAAAAACTTGGCACAACAGTGATAAGACGGAGGTGAGGAATTCTTCACAAAACAAAGTGAAAAGAAAAATAATAAAACATGGAGTAATATAACTAGAGGACCAATCAATGAGGTTCAATATACAAATAATGGGAGTTCTACAAAAGAGCAAAAATGAATGGGAGGAAATGAAGGAATGAATAAAAAATTCCCATAATGAAGAACAAACTCTTCTAAATTGAAAAGAGCCCTGGAATACCCAACACACAAAATAAAAAGAGCCATATTAAAGACATCATCATAAAACCTTAGGACAATGAGAAATATCCTATAAACTTCTAGAAAGAAAACAAAGAAGTCACATACATAAAAATTGATCAGGAATCAGAATACATTCAAAGTTTTCAATAGCTGCTCTAAAAGCAAAAATGCCATACACAAATGTTTTGGAAATGCCAAAAGAAAATAATCTCCAATTTGAAATTCAATACTCAAGACACACTATTATTAAAATGTTACGGTAAAATCGCAGTAACTGCAAACAAGAGCCCCCTCCAATCCAAATTTAATTTAAATATAGCTTCTCAGGAAAACTGAGGATGTTCACTATAAAAAGATGGGAGTACCAAAGGACAATAACTTAGAAAAATAAAGATCCCACACAAGAAAGGGAAGGGAATCTCCAGGATCACAC